ATCACATTTTCATTTTTGGGTGAACTATCGCTTTAAGGGCTGTGTAAAAACAACCGAAACTGCTGTCAAATCTTTAATACCCAAAACTTTTGGATCATTTTATTGTAAATGGCATAGAAATATGAATGTGGCAATAATCTTAAGAAATTTGACTCCACACAGCAGACCATCTAGAGCAGGGGTGCCCAACCCTGCTCCTGGCGATCGACTGTCCTGCAAAGTTCAGCTCCAACCCTAATCAAACACACCTGAAGGAACTAATTAAGGTATTCAGGATCACTTAAAAATGAAAGGCAGGTGTGTTTGATTAGAGTTGGAGCTGAACTTTGCAGGACAGTCGATCGCCAGGAGCAGGGTTGGGCACCCCTGATCTAGACAATCATTCTCATGGAAACTTAATATTTAAATTGTTTTATTTTATAATTACAGCAATAAAACAAATATACATTTTGACATTTAAATGTTTAAAATTAGTTAATTAATTTTTTTATTTAAATTTTTTTTTATTTTTTCCTTATCAAAATTGTTATTCAGATTTATTTTCACATCAGAAACATATATCACAGTTCTAATTAACTATATACAATATCTAACTGTTTTTAATTGTCAAACAAATCTAACAGAGCTAACAACAAATGTGGAAATAAAATATGTTATAACATTTCAAATGTATTTTAATATTTGCATTTTTATTATATAATAAATATAACATTAAAATTGCAACAAACTGAATATCAATTCAGTATATTTTTTTTATTTTGGGGGGTATTTCAAGTAAAAAGCACAGGTATTGTGCCAAATAAAAATTTATTTGAATAATTTATCAACCATAACACAGTTTTTTTCCCCACAACAAAAAAAACATGTCATGTGTCAAAAAAGGGACAGTGACACACCAAAGTGTACTGTTTTTGTCAAAAGGGGCATCTAGTTGTCATTTCACTTCACTATAAAAAATAAATAATAAATAAATAAAATATTAAAATGTAAAATTAAACAATTCATAAGAGAGACAAACTCTCTCTGTGTGCAAACAGCGACAGACAATCTAAGAGAGAGACTTTATGAGATGAAAAAGGAACAGAACGTACAATTAATATTCTTTCAGTTCATTCCATATTGACGCAAATGACAGTAAGTGTCAGGGAACGGCTGGGGGAATGTCCATTTAGAGCTGTCAGTCTTCTGCTCTGACAGTTGGCAAATACACTCCGGGCAAACACTCTCATTGACACCAGCCTTTATCTGGGCTCTGTGTACACATCACATGCCTGTAAACTTCCCATAAGGGCCATTAATCTGCGACATAATGTGACAATGTTTCTGCATTCTAATTTTTTGTTACACAATGGCTCAATAAAAAAATAAAACACGAATGTACTCATCTCTGAAAACAGGGAGTACTCTGCAATCATTCAAATGGAAAATATTATTAAATATCTGAAAAAGGCATGTATGATCTACCTAATCCATGGTGGATAAGATTCCAGGTAAACATTTTAATTTCACTTTTCTGATATTCCAAAGACAGAGAGAGAGAGAGAATGTGTCAAATAAAATATGGTTATTAACTCATAACCTACATACAGCTGGTGCAAATGGCCACAGTTCTTTATACACAAGTGTTGGACCTGCTCTTGACCTTGGTTATTTTATAATTGAGCATCAAAGAAGAGCTATTTCTAACCTCTCTGAGGGCGTTCATTTCAAATCATTCATACACACTTTCTCATTAAAGCCAAGCGCCGAGAGAAAAGCAATGTTCATTTTCTGATATTGTACATCTGCTGTCAAGAGGACGGCACGTAATGATCCACTGAGGGTAAACAGCAATTGTATTCTTATCTGAGATGAAAATCGCAATCATTCACCTGTCTCTGCACCTGCAGTCTGTTTCACAGCTTACTGTAAAGGAGGAGCTTTGTTTGCTGCAATCCAAGAGTTTAGTTGATAGCACATGTATGACACTCACATCCTGGAAGCCAGACCACTTACATACGCCTGAGATGGTATCATTAAAGAAAAGTATTGCATGTGTCAATCTCTTATAACAAAGGGTTGCTGGCGTTATCTTATCTGTCGGACAATTTGAAGAGAAAAACAGGAAATATAATTAAAAAAAAGAGTGGCATTTGGAAACTTACGTGTGAGGTCTTATTTTGCAAATAAACCTAAGGACTGTGACATAATTACAGCAAAGTCCATTAGCTCTAGCTCAAAGTAGTTGTTCCATGAAAATTGTTTGAGCCAAAGAGAAATGAGCATTAAACAGGTCAGGGGTACAAACATGGTCATGGTATTAGTGCCTGGCATCAATCTAAACAGGATGGTATCATTAAAGAAAAGTATTGCATGTGTCAATCTCTTATAATAAAGGGTTGCTGGCTTTATCTTATCTGTCGGACAATTTGAAGAGAAAAACAGGAAATATAATAAAAAAAAAGAGTGGCATTTAGAAACTTACGTGTGAGGTCTCATTTTGCAAATAAACCTAAGGACTGTGACATAATTACAGCAAAGTCCATTAGCTCTAGCTCAAAGTAGTTGTTCCATGAAAAGTGTTTGAGCCAAAGAGAAATGAGCATTAAACAGGTCAGGGGTACAAACATGGTCATGGTGTTAGTGCCTGGCATCAATCTAAACAATGTTTTTGCACTTTCTTGATCTCTACAAATGTAACGTTTAGTGAAACACAACATAAATAGCTCTCAAATGTGTGTTTAATTGTCTGACAAGGTTCAATTAACCTGAGGACACTGCAAATCTATTCGCATAAACTGTAATACAGTACTTGAATAATAAACGCACTGTTAAAAATATTTTCCAACAGTGTCCAATTAACAATCACAACAGTGTTAAGAAAATCTATCTGGCATGCAGACAAATGATACTTGAATACTTTTTTTTTATGTGTTGCTTAAAGTGGCATTTGTCTTTAATATGTATGTAATAAATAAATCAGTTCAACCAGCCTGAACTGATTTGGTGCTCTTACCCGATCTGATCAAGTCTCTTGGTTCTAAATGGTTTTGGGACACTTTTCAGCAGGTCAAGCCCAAAGACCACCAAGCCAAGCACTGAAATCAGCTAAACACCAGCTTGGCCATTCTGAGAGATCAGCTTAAACCAGCTTATACCAGCTTTGACTAGTATCTAATATTTCAATAGCAATGTTGCATTAGACAGAAGTAATTAAAGTTGTTGCTGCAACACAATAGCTGGACTTTGATAAGGACATGACTGGGACTAAATTGAATGAAATCAAGTACAGTGAACATCCGTAACTAACTATACATCAAAACCCCTCCCCTTTCGGTGGGGCACCACTGACAAAACCACACCTTCTAAGGGTCAACGGTGCATTTTCACCACCTTCATAACAGCCAGCACATTCTAACCCTTCTCATTGTCCTGAGGTAGACCCACCTCAGCTCAACACTAGAGGACTCTTTAGAGACACTGGGAGAGACACTATGTCAGGGGACGCATACCTGAGGTTGCTCTCTATAGTAGCTTATTTATGTGTTCTCAACACTGAGGCTTATTCAGGGTAGGTTTTCTTTCTATCACTCTTATATTGTGTTTAACAAAGCTGAGTTTCTTAACATTTATTAACATTCCATTCATCACTTGCAGAGGTTTTCCACTCACTCTTCCTGACTGGAGATCAAATGCAGGTAAGAACTACACCAGCACCAATCCAGATGCCTCACTTCCATAAGGTTATAATTTTAGGGTGGTAACACTTGACGCCTTTAAATATGGTGCATTATAAAAAGCATTTTTAATGCATTAGTTATGCCTTGTAATGCACAATATAATGAGTTCTATGAATAAGTTTAGTCATTACTGTTTTAAAAATATATATTTTTTAAATATAATATTACATTGTTAATATTGTATAATAGAATATAATATACATTATAATATTTATGTATGCATTATTACACCTTTAGAAAATATATTGCATTAAAACATAATAACCAATTTCAGATGTAACAAAGAATCTGCAAATATTATAATGCATTTTTAACTTACAATATTTATGAAAAGATAGCTTTAAGTGTTACTGAATGTATAATGCATTATGCAGGTATTCATAATGTGTGTTATAATGCATTATATATATTTTATAAATAATTGTAACCAAAGTTAAAATGCATTATAATACATGAAGGGCTGTTTGTGTTTTAATGCATTATACATTCTAAATGTGTAACAATGAATAGGTAAGTGATATAATGTATTATAGTGGTTAAAAATACTCATAAAATAGTGCAATGCATTATGATGTGCATTACAAGGCATAATTAATGCAACATTTATAATGCATTATATAGAAAAGCTTTAAGTAAAGTGTCACCAACTTCTGTGGTACTGAAAAGAGGACCTGTTAGAAACCATGCTATCAAACTCTGATGAGTTGTAAACCTTTTAGTCTTCTCTAATAGAAGCACTCACACCGGTATGACCAATTTCTCGCAAGAGTGACTGCGGACACGAAAATTTGTTATAACAATCCAAACAGAACTATGTTTTCGGTTTCTTGTTTTCGATTAGGTTCTTATTCTCGTTCCACTTTTGTTTTTTATTGTCCTTTAATCACTTTTCCCTCCTGTGCTGTAGATTATTTCGCAAAGTGTGATTTTGGCAGTGATTTGCCGGCATCCTGCGATTGGACCTCTAAGGGACCCATCAGTGCTCAGATAGCAACAGGTAATTATACTGCTGAGACGAAATTGCTGCAGAGACAGTAACTGCTTTGTGTTTACAACCAATCCATTCCCCTGAGGCAACAACAACAGCAGTTAATAGGTTTCTAACAGCACGTAGCAGAGCTTCTTTAAACTTATTTTTCCTCAAATTACGTTATTCAACTTGACTTTCAAGTACGCTATTCACCGCATTCAACCACCTGTGTGAACAAGACATTGGTCGACACGCTACACTGTAAGAATTCGCAAAACACAAAGTACAGATCAGAGTCTAACTTGTGGCACATGTTGGCTTTGAGTCTGTAAGCAGGTGATTTGATAATTATTTATGACTGCATGCTTTTAGAGGTCAGTCTTTGAACGATATGCAAGAATATAAGAGCAAACTCATTGTGTTTTGAGAAAAAAATATTCATAGTTCTGTATTCTGTACAAAACAGAGCTCTTTTTGGAGCTTTGTAGTACTTATAAGAACAGGGACAAGTAACAACAAGCCAGATTCGAACTTGCACAGTTCACATAAGCACCAGAGCGTTATGTATCAGGATACATGTTACCCACAAACACAGCGTTAAAACTGAATCAATTATTGATTATTGTTATTACAAAAGTGTAAATTAGAAACTTGTGAAGGCTTAAATTTTTATAGAAAACAAAAACTGACAAGACGGACATCATTTCAGCAGCTCTCTTGCAAATCATTTAAATTTACACTTGTTTTGTCTTTTTGTCTATGTGCTATAGAGGAAACATCTCTCCATCCTGAGAGTCCATCTGGTGCGTTTCACCTCAAAAGTGGATTTCTTAAGATCTCAGAAGACTCCTGTCTGGAGTTCTGGTACCATAAACCTAACAAGAAGAGTTCTGAACTCAAAGTTTTGCTAGAGGGTGATATTCTGCAAACGTTGATTTGGACCTCAGAGACATCTAGCATTGGAGACTGGAGACAAGTCTTCATCCCTCTCACAAAGCAGTCTGACAAAGACAACATCCAGGTACAGCAATTTAAATATTCATATTTAGGTTTTGGGCATCTTTGTGGAGAAAGATAGCAGATAATATTAAAAGGTCATTTGAAAAAAAAAAATGTCCATGTGTTTTAACTGTGTATCCAGAAAGTTAGAACATTTTGCAGCCAATGAAACCAACAAAACAATTAATTATCATGCCGGCGGAAACAAATTATTCTAGCATTCATAAGCTGCTGTTGTCCAATGAGCTTCAAATTTCTAACCTTTTAATTTGTGCAAAAATCTAAAAAACATATTTGTGGTTTTTGGTGCAAAATTTTTTGGATAAGCAACACAGATACAAAAATAACTCCATGCAGTTCACCAACGGAGACTGATTAAGTAGGAAGTAACCCCCTTGAAAAACCTCCAGAATTTTACTTCTAGACATATGCATTGTAAGTTAAGCTGTCTGCCATCTAAAAACACAACATGAATTTCTGTAAGTTGTTTGATAAGAAAGCATCTGTGAAAATAATGAGCACAATAGTAATTGTAGTAATTTAAAAACGTTTGTTTCTTGAGTGATGAACCTTTTGCAGGCACTGAAGAATCACTATTACTCCCTGCAACTGTAATTGTGTTCTCTGGCAGGTTATTTTTGAGCTATTAAAAGGTCTGCAAGACGATGAACAAACTGCCTTTGACAGAATAGGAATACGGAAGGGACAATGTGGTGAGTGACATATGATTATTATTATTTTGACCTAGTACATCACTTACCAACATACAAACACCCCTAAGCTAAATTCACCAGATTTAATGGAGAGCAAATGAGGAGGGTAATGAGGGACCACATGTGGGGCAAATTAACTAATAATCCGGTAACAAGATGGGAGGGGTCAAGACAATTGACATGAGCACATGGGACACCGAATCAAAGACAAAAAGCCATGTGCTCACACAAAACAAAACACAAGCACATGGCCAGCAAAACAAATCACAAGCCATGTGCTAGAACAAGAGACACGAACACGCAGCTAATGAGAAAACTCATAAGCCACGTGTTCACACAAGACAACAAGAAAAGCACGCGGCTGAACACAAACCGCGTGCTTCACAAAACACACGTGGACAGAAGAGCGCACGGCCGAGCGAACTCGAGACCGCACGCTCCCACAACAGACAGAACATGGAGCGCGAGTGTCCGGACCCCGACACGAACCCGAAACTCAAGACATGAGTGCCGGGATCTGAACACCACGCTCCAACATGAAACAGTACATGCAGACGAGAGCGCACGGCTCGAGCACACTCGAAGCCGCACGCTCACATGAAAACAATGACATGACGCGAGTGTCAGGGCTCTGTCACAAAACCATGAATAACACTAGACCGAAGTGACAGAACCCTGACAGTAAGTTGTTTGATAAGAAAGCATCTGTGAAAATAATGAGCACAATAGTAATTGTAGTAATTTAAAAACGTTTGTTTCTTGAGTGATGAACCTTTTGCAGGCACTGAAGAATCACTATTACTCCCTGCAACTGTAATTGTGTTCTCTGGCAGGTTATTTTTGAGCTATTAAAAGGTCTGCAAGACGATGAACAAACTGCCTTTGACAGAATAGGAATACGGAAGGGACAATGTGGTGAGTGACATATGATTATTATTATTTTGACCTAGTACATCACTTACCAACATACAAACACCCCTAAGCTAAATTCACCAGATTTATTGGCCTTTGGGAAATAGTAAAGTGTTAATATATCATCCACAGGGCCACAATGTCAGCGAGGAGGCACATTTTGGACTGATAAAAGCACTCGCTGCACTTGCACTGATGAGCAACTCATCTGTTCTCACGTCCCTCGGTCCAAAGATACTTTTGGCACCTGCCATGTGGCCTCTGACCCACACTACACTACTTTTGATGGGGTCAGCTTCCAATTTGAGAGTCCTTGTACCTACGTCTTGTCAAAGGTCTGCGATGACTCAGGGTTGCTTCCTGAGTTTGCAGTGGAGGTGCAAAATGAGAATAAAGGGGACTCGCACATATCCTCCATTCAGCAAGTGAACATCAATGTACATGGTCTGACAGTGACCATGGTGAGGACAGAGAGGAGAAAAGTCATGGTGAGCTGTCAACCACAATGAATGATGATTAGAGATAACATATTTGTCTTAAGTTTGACTTTAACAACAATAACTTTAAGTCTGTTCATTAGATTAGATTTGGAGGACTTTAGCATTACATCACTTGCTCACCAATGGATTCTCTGCAGTGAATGGGTGCCATGAGAATGAAAGGCCAAACAGCTGACAAATACTCGCAATAATCACAATAATCCACATGACTCCAGTCCATCAATTAGCATCGTGTAAAGTGAAAAGCTGTGTTTTAAGAAACAAATCCATTAAAGTATTTTAACTTTAGACCCTCACTTCTGCCACTTAAACCATTCTGACGGCACCCATTCACTGCAGAGGATCCATTGATAAGCAAATGATGCAATCGTGTAAATTATGCTAAATTCCTCCAGATCTGTTCAAATGAAGAAGCAATCTCATCTACATCTTGGATGGCCTGAAGGTGGGCAAATTTTCATGTTTATGTGAACTACTCATTCAACCACTTTCCACTGTTGTCCTAATCAGGTTAATGGGATTTGGAAGAATCTCCCTCTACTCCTAAAAGGAAACAGAGTTACGGTTAATGCCCAGGGAGATGCTTTGGTCCTTCAGACAGACTTCAAACTGTCCGTCTTCTACTTGAGGTCCAGTGCCGTTCAGGTGATTGTCCCCAGCCATTACTCAAACAGAATCTGTGGCATGTGTGGCAACTTTAACCACGAGACAGAAGATGACATCAAGATCCCAGACAGGTCACTGATGCAGGACACGCATGTTTTAGGGCAGAGCGTGTGTGAGGAACCCACCCTCCCCAGGGTCTGTACAGATGCAGAGGAGCAGAAGTACGCCAGCGAGGTTTACTGCGGCATGCTAACATCCAGACAAGGGGCATTTTCAACGTGCTCATCTGTTCTGAATGCAGATAGTTTCTTCCGAAGCTGCATGTTTGATATGTGTACAACTCACGGAGATCCCGCAGCCCTCTGCAATGCCATTGAGGCCTTCAGTGCCACCTGTGACAAAGTTGGGATCTCTGTTATGGCCTGGAGGAACACAACATTCTGTCGTATGTGCTTAAAATTATCTATAAAAAAAAACATTCTGGTCATAAACTCGACTGTATTGATCGATAAAGAATGTGTCACAGTAATGCACCCACAATGGAAGTCTGGCATTTTCAACGTGCTCATCTGTTCTGAATGCAGATAGTTTCTTCCGAAGCTGCATGTTTGATATGTGTACAACTCATGGAGATCCCGCAGCCCTCTGCAATGCCATTGAGGCCTTCAGTGCCACCTGTGACAAAGTTGGGATCTCTGTTATGGCCTGGAGGAACACAACATTCTGTCGTATGTGCTTAAAATTTCTTAAAATTATCTATAAAAAAAAAACATTCTGGTCATAAACTCGACTGTATTGATCGATAAAGAATGCGTCACAGTAATGCACCCACAATGGAAGTCCATGAGGCTTTTTTGGCCATGATTTATGCAGTTTAAAAAAAAGTGTATTATTTGATCTGTAAAGTTCTCCTTTTTAAATGGACTTTAATAAATGAATGAACATTTGATTATGCATTACTAATGCAATTTCTGATGGTGGAGTTTGGTCCATGTAAAAAGTGCACCAGGATTAACCAATTATGGTCGATACTGATAAGCCAGTAATTACTTTTGGGTGATGACCAATTAATAACTGACATTATAAATTACTTCAATTAAAAAAAATACTACATGTGAATTTTAGGCATCACATTATGATGTATAATACGAAATATAGACAAATATTCCTTTTGAAATCTCCTATAGAGTGAAACGCATAACTGTGTTTATCGAAGCAGTTCATGTTCCAGTGTTTCAACATCTCAGTTCACAGCGAACTCAATATTTGAATGTGTAGGTTACTATTACCTATAGAGTGAAACGCATAACTGTGTTTATCGAAGCAGTTCATGGTCCAGTGTTTCAACATCTCAGTTCACAGCGAACTCAATATTTGAATGTGTAGGTTACTATTAAAAAAAACACTAAATAATATACCCGTAATTAAATATTCATTTGTAATTAAATAACAGTGTAGTTGAATTATAATATTAAGATAAAAGTAATAATTTTACTCTAAAAATGCACCAGATTGATGCATTTAACTTTAAAATATCTAAAATTTTCTTCAAAAAAAACACTAAATAATATACCCGTAATTAAATATTCATTTGTAATTAATTTACAGTGTAGTTGAATTATAATATTAAGATAAAAGTAATAATTTTACTCTAAAAATGCACCAGATTGATGCATTTAACTTTAAAATATCTAAAATTTTCTTCAATGGTGCAACAACCCCCCCCCCAAAACCACCTAGAGGGACTGAGGTCCACCCCCCTATAGTCTCACAAATCCTGGGTTAAATCTTTGCCATAATATATTGTTATCCCTTCAAGTTTGTAATATAACCCTTTAAATCTCAAAGATAGGCATCAAGAAGTATATGTGAAACTGGCCTTGAACTCTATCAAAATGCATCTGACCTTCAATATTAGTTTAAAGCCTTAGTATCTATCTCCTCTCCACCCAAATCTATGAAACAATAGAGACAAGCGATTCAAGTACAGCCAGTATTATTAGGCTAATCATAAATATAAATTAAGGCTTGACATGTCAGATCAGATTACCTGATTTGAGCCACTGTTGAGCAAATGGCCTATCTCAGACCTCTCTGTAATCAGTAGTGCGGTCTCCACCTAACAACCCACACAGAAGTACTAGACATAGTCACTGGTTATTAATTAATGATCTCCCAAACCATTCTGACGGCACCCATTCACTGCAGAGGATCCATTGATAAGCAAATGATGCAATCGTGTAAATTATGCTAAATTCCTCCAGATCTGTTCAAATGAAGAAGCAATCTCATCTACATCTTGGATGGCCTGAAGGTGGGCAAATTTTCATGTTTATGTGAACTACTCATTCAACCACTTTCCACTGTTGTCCTAATCAGGTTAATGGGATTTGGAAGAATCTCCCTCTACTCCTAAAAGGAAACAGAGTTACGGTTAATGCCCAGGGAGATGCTTTGGTCCTTCAGACAGACTTCAAACTGTCCGTCTTCTACTTGAGGTCCAGTGCCGTTCAGGTGATTGTCCCCAGCCATTACTCAAACAGAATCTGTGGCATGTGTGGCAACTTTAACCACGAGACAGAAGATGACATCAAGATCCCAGACAGGTCACTGATGCAGGACACGCATGTTTTAGGGCAGAGCGTGTGTGAGGAACCCACCCTCCCCAGGGTCTGTACAGATGCAGAGGAGCAGAAGTACGCCAGCGAGGTTTACTGCGGCATGCTAACATCCAGACAAGGGGCATTTTCAACGTGCTCATCTGTTCTGAATGCAGATAGTTTCTTCCGAAGCTGCATGTTTGATATGTGTACAACTCATGGAGATCCCGCAGCCCTCTGCAATGCCATTGAGGCCTTCAGTGCCACCTGTGACAAAGTTGGGATCTCTGTTATGGCCTGGAGGAACACAACATTCTGTCGTATGTGCTTAAAATTTCTTAAAATTATCTATAAAAAAAAAACATTCTGGTCATAAACTCGACTGTATTGATCGATAAAGAATGCGTCACAGTAATGCACCCACAATGGAAGTCCATGAGGCTTTTTTGGCCATGATTTATGCAGTTTAAAAAAAAGTGTATTATTTGATCTGTAAAGTTCTCCTTTTTAAATGGACTTTAATAAATGAATGAACATTTGATTATGCATTACTAATGCAATTTCTGATGGTGGAGTTTGGTCCATGTAAAAAGTGCACCAGGATTAACCAATTATGGTCGATACTGATAAGCCAGTAATTACTTTTGGGTGATGACCAATTAATAACTGACATTATAAATTACTTCAATTAAAAAAAATACTACATGTGAATTTTAGGCATCACATTATGATGTATAATACGAAATATAGACAAATATTCCTTTTGAAATCTCCTATAGAGTGAAACGCATAACTGTGTTTATCGAAGCAGTTCATGGTCCAGTGTTTCAACATCTCGCGAACTCACGAACTCAATATTTGAATGTGTAGGTTACTATTAAAAAAAACACTAAATAATATACCCGTAATTAAATATAATTAAATAATTAAATAACAGTGTAGTTGAATTATAATATTAAGATAAAAGTAATAATTTTACTCTAAAAATGCACCAGATTGATGCATTTAACTTTAAAATATCTAAAATTTTCTTCAATGGTGCAACAACCCCCCCCCCAAAACCACCTAGAGGGACTGAGGTCCACCCCCCTATAGTCTCACAAATCCTGGGTTAAATCTTTGCCATAATATATTGTTATCCCTTCAAGTTTGTAATATAACCCTTTAAATCTCAAAGATAGGCATCAAGAAGTATATGTGAAACTGGCCTTGAACTCTATCAAAATGCATCTGACCTTCAGTATTAGTTTAAAGCCTTAGTATCTATCTCCTCTCCACCCAAATCTATGAAACAATAGAGACAAGCGATTCAAGTACAGCCAGTATTATTAGGCTAATCATAAATATAAATTAAGGCTTGACATGTCAGATCAGATTACCTGATTTGAGCCACTGTTGAGCAAATGGCCTATCTCAGACCTCTCTGTAATCAGTAGTGCGGTCTCCACCTAACAACCCACACAGAAGTACTAGACATAGTCACTGGTTATTAATTAATGATCTCCCACACCTTCACCAGCTGACCCGTAACTTTCCATTACAAACCACAAAGGCACTGAGAAACATATTGTGAATCTATTTCAGATTGTTTATGTTTGATTCTTCGGGTTTCTGTTTTAGCTGTGGCGTGTGGCCCTCACAGCCACTATAACGCCTGTGCCAGCGGCTGCCCTAAGACCTGCTCCAGCCAGGATGCTACAGGGTCTTGTGGGATATGTGAGGAGCGCTGTGAGTGTGACGATGGCTTCATGCTCAGCGGAGGAGCATGCGTATTAGCTGAAGACTGTGGATGTTGGGCTAATGGACAGCATTATTTGGTACAGTAGCTTAGCCATCTTATTGTTATCATCACATCATTATAGATAGATAGATAGATAGATAGATAGATAGATAGATAGATAGATAGATAGATAGATAGATAGATAGATAGATAGATAGACAGACAGGCTTAAGCTCATTAAGCTCATTAAGCTCTTAATTTAACTCTAAAACATACAAAATTCTCTTCCAGAATTCAAGTTTTATATATTTTTTTAAATTCATATATATTTGTTTTAATGTTATGCATGCATATACAAACAATTCAGTTAAAGCATCAGTAAACTATTATAGAATTTTTGTTAATACACATCATATTTTACTAAAATATTTCTGTATATTTTACTAAAATAGTATAGTTAATCTTTCTCTTCCTGTCCTATCTAGATCAGAGAGACATTTATGGAGGGTGAAGATAGATAGATAGATAGATAGATAGATAGATAGATAGATAGATAGATAGATAGATAGATAGATAGATAGATAGATAGATAGATAGACAGACAGACTTAAGCTCATTAAGCTCTTAATTTAACTCTAAAACATACAAAATTCTCTTCCAGAATTCAAGTTTTATATATTTTTTAAAATTCATATATATTTGTTTTAATGTTATGCATGCATATACAAACAATTCAGTTAAAGCATCAGTAAACTATTATAGAATTTTTGTTAATACACATCATATTTTACTAAAATATTTCTGTATATTTTACTAAAATAGTATAGTTAATCTTTCTCTTCCTGTCCTATCTAGATCAGAGAGACATTTATGGAGGGTGAATGTGAGCAACAGTGCCAGTGTTTGGGCAATGGGAATATTCAATGTTCACCGACATCCTGCAAAGCTGATGAAGTATGCATGGTTAAGGACGGAGTCTTGGGTTGCTTTCCATCCAGCCCGGTGACCTGCAGAGTCTACGGTGACCCCCATTACATCACTTTCGATGGCAAGGCCTACTCCTTCTGGGGCACCTGCAACTACACCATAGCAAAAACCTGCGGGGTTACTGAAACCCAGTTCACAATAACGGCACGAAATGAGGGACAGAACAACTCTGCAACTTCCTCTCTTAACTCTGTAGCTCTTGACATGAAAGGCCTACATATTGTCATCGGAAAGAACAAGCAGGTTTATGTGAGTGTCTTGTTTTTGTCATTCATTTGGATTTGACTATACTATCAGTGTGTGTACTGACTTAATGTATTCAGTTTCACCACAAACATGCAATGCAATGCATATTAAAAAATAGAAAAAAATATTAATTGATTAACCATTTGAGGTATCATTAGTGTACGTACGGCATGAGTTACAAAGGAATCATATCATGAGGAATGAAATCTTGATTCTTGAAATACTATGAAAACAGTCCAAAAAAATTCCAAGCTGCAAAAATGGCAACTTTGTAACACCATAAAGATAAATCCATCAACACATGACCATCCATATTTACACATCAATCTGGTGATTATACATGTCATCAGAAACTAGAAAGATAGCACCAGAGAACAAGAAAAGCAAACAAATTACTGTGTTAGAGTACAATGAGGGTAAGTTTGTGATGCCTCCTCATTGTTTTCCACGTAGCACTTATCTTCTAATAGTACGCACTTACCACGTAGCACTTATGTACCTAATCATTCATGATATACATGGGCAGTTCATGGAAAGAAATGTGGGCAGGAGCTGCCATCTAAAATATATGACCCATAATTAGTGTTTACAGTAAGTAAAATGTTCATATTTTAAAGGTAAGTGATAAGAGACGTGTTTGCTTATGACGTCACCTGTTATCTTTCAATGATAACATTTGAGGAGTGTCCTGATAGTGACTTCTGCTTCACATAATAAAGCCTCTGGCAAAGATATGTAGCTGCAGTACTTCAGATCTAAACTGGCCGCATTTTTTAACTAAAGTATTCATCACCATGTTATGAGTAACATGACCCTCTCTGGCCCTCACACTGAAGATAAAACAATGTGCCAACAAATGAATGACCCAGTTTTAATTTTACAAATCTAAGCATATTTTTATGATTAACATGATGATTTGGGATAGTAATCAAATATCCCTTATCAAACATTTACTAAAATAGTTTCCAGCAGAATACTAAACTTACTCTAGTTATTTTTTACTACAATACAACTGTGCCAACTTGGCATCAGCTGCCAGAAACATTTTTTTTTTTTTTTTTTTAAATAACAGAAAGATTTTGAAAGCATCGATTTGAAGAAGATTACACTACTACAAGAAATGTACAGGTGCATCTCAATAAATTAGAATGTCGTGGAAAAGTTCGTTTATGTCAGTAATTCAACTCAAATTGTGAAACTTGTCTATTAAATCAATTCAATGCACACAGACTGAAGTAGTTTAAGTCTTTGGTTCTTTTAATTGTGATGATTTTGGCGCAGCAAATTAGAATACTTCATAAGACCAATAAAAAAACAGTTTTAGTGAATTGTTGGCCTTCTGGAAAGTATGTTCATTTACTGTACATGTACTCAATACTTGGTAGGGGCTCCTTTTGCTTTAATTACTGCCTCAATTCAGCGTGGCATGGAGGTGATCAGTTTGTGGCACTGCTGAGGTGGTATGGAAGCCCAGGTTTCTTTGACAGTGTCCTTCAGCTCATCTG